TTTTGTTTCCCGATCTACTTGATGGAATTCCAGACGTTAGGTTAGAAAAGCCAAGGAACGAACTAGGGGAATCCCCGGTCCCTCGATTTCCCGATAAATTTCCTCCGTTCCGTTTGGAACTCGAATCGAATCGGAACGGCTTCTCGATATTCTCGTGAGCTTGCACGCCACGTTCGTTCTAGGGCAATAATCAAGATTTCGCATATCGAGACCAGACTGAACTTTGCCATCAAAGCGGATCCATTGCACTTCGCTCGCGATATTAGGCCACATCGGTAATGAAAAGGCATGATCGTCAATCACGTTTCTCGCGGAACCAATGGACCTGGCCTTTTTATCTCTGGTGATTAGAAATTCATAACGAGGGATGATCCCTTACGCAAACTTGACCCCTCGAAGTAATACCTGGGTATACCAAGAGAAAGAAAAGCCCATGGGAACAAACAGAGAGAAGGCTCAGTGAAGGATTTCACGTGTAATTTCGAAAAATTCCGTATTTCCCCTTGTCTCGAGGATGACGTAGCTTCTCTTCCTCGAGTTGGCAACAACCGCGAGGAGGTGGCTGTAAGAGAAGAGGAGGGGAGGGAAGCCTCGCGTGTTTGAGGAAGTAATTTCAGTGAAACGCAAGGCCCTCGTTGTAACCAGCACTTTGGGCCCGCCTTGGCGCAGCAGATAATGACACATTTTTTTTCGTCGAAAGGGGCGGTTCTATAGTCCCGGGGCCCTGTACTTCCGAGAAGACGGTTACCTACTCCACCATACGTTACGATACGATAGCACGGGACTCGACTTGCGGGAATTCAAAACGAAGGAATAAGATATGACGCGGACATTGGTTTTCGTAAGTAAAACAGAAGTGCCCGGTTTTGTTTCACTGGAAGGTGGCGTAAGTAGGGCTTGGAGAGTCGGAGCGGGTCGACGACCGAGAGACAAGTGTTCGAAGTCGGCGCACTTGCCGGACCCACCTCTAAGGCCCAAAATCGAGAACGGGATCCCTTGATGAAATTCGATCGGACTCGCGCTGCGCGGACATGTTCGTTGCCGTACGTCGTATTCGTAGGAGCGAACAAAACACACTAGTAGGAGCGGAAACGAGGAAAGTGAGAATATAGGGTAAAGAAAGAAGTTACTAGAAAAAAAAAAAAAAAAAAAAAAATTAAAAACTAGGGAATATCCGGTGGAAGTGTTACGACAGTCACGAACTCTACGGAATCTTAGGACTTTCCTTCGGATTCCACGTAGCAAATGGAGCAGCAATTACGAAGGACTCCGACACGTATTGCGAAACGTGACCTTTAATGCTGATACGAAAAACCGATTGATCCCCGTGCATGATCGCCGTATGAATCAGGCATAGGCCCGACAAGAGTTTCGTACGTAAGTTCTTTGGTTTTAGAGATATGTATTACTGACTAAGCGAGTGATGGGTAGTTTCCATGAATTAGCATACGGCCCATTCTTTCTTTATTTTTCGTAATCGTATATGCACGCGATGCCGACAGACAACGGGCAAATTGAAATGCACTTATACCTTATCGGTATAAGTATGTGGATTTGCTAAAATTACCAATGAAGAACGAGCGACTGTCGCTCCTCGATCTTGACATCCTTAAAAATTGGACTTGCCCGAAATGCAGCCTTCTCCTCGTACCAAGACCTTAAATGGTTTTCGTGGCGAACCACACGGGCGACATAACGGTCTTCCGGTATACGGCAGGTGCGCTAGTAAATTCCGACGACGATCTTTTCCCGCGTCACGAATACTCCTTCGAGAATCGCGGACTCCTCTTTCTCTCTGGCAGTCAGTTCCTTGCGTTTACCCTGTTGCTACGGTATTCATCGAAATGATGACGGGTCGGCAGAGTCGCCGTCATGGAAAATCGGCAGCCATGGATCCTGTCCGATTTCTCCATGATTGCCTTAGGTACCGGGTAACGTCGTAATAATAAGCTACGTATATGCTTTTACCTGCTCTGTCATCGGAACCATATGGATTTAGTAGGGACTAGAAAATTATTTCCGTCGATTAAAAATATCTCGAGTTTGTCAAACCAGAGTCAATGGTATGTGTAAACTCATTCGAATACTTGTTATTTGAGACAGAAAAGTCACGCGGTATGTTTGACGTGTACATTCGGGTGAATAAGTGCTTTTGCATCGTAAGAAAATATGTGAATTTCGTCAAGTCTTTTTAGATAATGAGTTTCTATTGATTTGGAATTCTTGAATTAAATGGAACCGATCCATGTATGTATGTATGATCGATATACGATGTTAACGATTTATTTTCATTATTGACAATTTTACCTAAATACGTAGACAAACTACGGGTATTGTTAATCCTTGCGATACGGCGTAAGGGATGAAAAAAATTCAGGTATAATAAGAAGCACTGTAATTACATTCACAAATAATGTTTACCGTTTTTGAGATAAGATATCCGACATATTTCTTCGAAGTGCACGGTACCGCAAATGGAAAGTGTCTTCTACCTTCGTGGAATATATCCGCAAGCGTAAATATAAGACAATGAGACGTACGGGTATACTAGTCAATATACAGGGTGTTCGTTATGAAACGCACTGTAGCAACACCGTTGCATTCCTTGTCAAATTCTACTGAATACGTGTATTTTCATTTTTTATTTCATATATCAAAATTTCGAGATAATCAAGGTTGAAGTTGCAGTAATGCGACCAATCAGAACGCGTTTAAACGGAGTGTAGATGACGTCGCGAGCCAGCCCGCAAGGCCTGCTTACACTAGGCCAATAACACTAAGAGTATCATCGTAGTGTCCCTGTTTATCTGCATGTAATTGAGTAAGATACAATCGCTTGCTGTAACGTCAGTGAACTTCAGAATGTACCCTTTATTTCTTATAATGTCTATTGCTTTAATCTGACAAGATAGTTCTACCAACGTATAACATTTCGAGTGGTCCTGAAAAGGACCGATTTTAATATACGCATGACCCAGCTTGAATATCGACATGCTAATCTGCAACAATTACATACATTTTCTATGATAACAGTAGTAAGTCTACTGCGGTTGAATAACTTGTTTACAACTTACAACCTATTTCGCTTCACATTTCGGAGACAGTCAGTTCGATTTATGTTGTTCCGACTGCAAGACCGCATTATGCGTATTGCGTGTCAGCCCAATGTAATGGCAGCCAAACACAAGCAGCGCAAGAATCTGTAATTAGGTATCCTAATAGGCGACATCCTGATAAAAATGTTACGTACTCTACAATATTTAGTGTTTCAGAATAACCATTATCATAGAAAATGTATCTAATTGTTGCAGATTAGCATTTCGAGATCCAAGCCCGGTCATGCGTATATCAAAATCGGTCCTTTTCAGGACAACTGAAAATGTAATACGTTGGTAGAACTATCTTGTCAAATTAAAGGAATAGACATTATAAGGAATACAGGGTACTTTCCGAAATTCAGTAACGTTACAGCGAGCGATTGTATCTCACTCAATTAATGCAGATAAACAGGGACCAATTGTGTTATTGGTTAGTGTAAGCAGACCTTACGGGCTGACTCGCGACGTCATCTACACTCCGTTTAAACGCGTTCTGATTGGTCGCATTACAGCAACTTCAACCTTGACTATCTCGAAATTTTTATATATGAAATAAAAAATGAAAATACACGTATGCCTTAGAATTTAACAAGGAATGCAACGGTGTTACTACAGTGCGTTTCATAACGAACACCCTGTATATTAAACTAACGACTTTAAATATGCCCTTACCGTTTACCGTTTCAACGATATACCGCAGTTACAGTTACATGTTTTGTATTTCTGGAATTTTGATTTTCGCTATGATTTTCGTCGTGTCCGTCATCGGAATTCACAATTAACGATTGTTTCGGTCGATCGATACGATCAACCGTTAGATTCGAAAAGGGTCAAAACATTCAGCGTTTACGGGCAGCCTCTTTACACAATCAGTGTGGGCGTCGGGTTGCAATGGAAATAATAAAAAAAAGAGAGCAGCTTGATTTTTGTGGTAAACATTCGTACACGTTCTCTGCCTCGCGTCGTCATGTGTAATTGGCAAATATCGCTGGCCGGGAATGTAATACGCGCGATATAACCAGCAGTACTTGCGTCCTCGAAAACTGAAATAGTTATGACCCGCAATGCGATAAAAAAAAGTCCACGAGTCGTCTAGGTAAGATAGGTTAGGTAGATTGGTATGTAGGTAGGTAGGTAGCTAGGTAGGTATACCTTGACGTAGGACAGCAAAATGCGTCTAATTTTACGTAATAGACAGAGAGAAAACGTGTATTTTTTATTCAGAAAATAAAAATCTTTTTGCACCTATTTTCAACGTGTACGATAACTCAGCGCGATACGAAATATTCTCGTGGTTGGTATTCGAAATGGAATTAAGGAGCAACAGACGGTCATATCTTATCTTCTGTGGAAATCTGGCGCACGATGCTCGGCAGAAAAAGGGCTCGGTGTCTTTTTCGTTAGCTGGGATATTTTTAAATGGCGATGCGCGCACAGGCGTGGCCGTTGGTTTCACGTGTCCCACTGTGAGAAAATTCTTCGCGATTCAATATATATATATATATGAGAAAAATTAAGTTTGCATCGGAATAACCTACGTTCATTATTATGATAAGTCAAAGTTATTATAAGTTGATGTTAAACATAGGTAAGATTGACCCAAAGTCGTTCATTGTAAATATTAATAACAGAGGCGAAATGTCGATAAAGATTTCCTGTAAGTCCCCTAGCAAGAATGAGTAAGAATAAATATCGACGGGCCAGGATGGATATCAAGAATATAATTTTGATATCCAATCAGTAAGATTGATAAGACCAAGAGACAAGCGTCCAGTGTGTCCAATAATTTCGAGATAATACTCGCGGATGTAAACGGCAAATAAACGTAAAGCAGCCTTAAGCCTAACGTAGCTACGCGTTTGTCATTCCAGACCCATGCATTATAATTTGTTCATCCCTTACCTGAAGATCATGGCTGGAATTATCCCTGTGACTGGCAGCACGAATCACCCCTGAACGCCACCCCCACTCACTGACCTTATTCACCTTCAACTTGGCAAAACCACTCACTGAGAGGAACCTCTTTCCCACGATCTCCTCGCGAAACTTGTACGCCATATTATGGCGAATCGCGTACTAGCCGATCGCACCAGCCCGCCAGGACTACTAGAGAGCAGTCCTATCTCTATGACTACAAAGTAACAAGATCTTGTATTCGTAGGAAAACAGCAAACTGATCCAAAGGGGTCACCACAGGAGTACACTAGATACAACACACTTTCGATTCACTAGGTCGTAGACGACGCGACAACGCCGAACAACAAGACGACGAAGACTAAACAGAGTACTGAAGGGGACCGCGACGGCGACGAGGAACCCGATGACGATAACGACGTGCACGATGACTCTGGAGAGGTGGTCGCGATCGTAGCGATGTTTGTAGCGTAGGACAACAGCGTTACCCTGACACCACGAGCCATGATATTCCTTCGTGCACAATCGAGTGTCAAATTTTTTTTCCCTTCGCGTCGCGAATGGTCACTGTTTTGTTTATGCTCTTCTGTTTCCAGGCTTCACTCGCTTGTACGTTTCTGTACTCTATGACTTGAAATTTTCTCGGATTTTCCCGACAGTGCCCGGGCCAACTACGCCACTTTACTTTTCAGGGGTTACTGCCGGCCACGTCGGGGGTACTCGGCGGTAACGGGAGCGCGGAGTACTTCGAACGGTACCAGTGTAATCGTGAGAGTGACACACACATGACCGGCCAGTGATATCGCGTAGCGCGCACTGCGGGCGGACGGCAGGGAGGCCCGGCTCCGTCCCGCGGCCCGTGAGCCGGCCTCACGCCATCCCCCACCCCACACCCCACAGTCGACGGGGGTGGGGTGATGAGGGCCGAAGAGCCGATACTAGTACGGCCTCGGGAGGGAGAGGCCTCTACTCCCTCTCCGACATTCGCCGCGCACACATCTACTCTCCATACAACAGCTCCGTCGCAACTGGCACGGCTACAGCACGGGCTCACACATGCTCCCTTTATGCTTGAGGTACTCGCTCCTTACGTGAAACTCTTGATTTTTTTTCTTCGGTATACGTCGCTTCTTTATGTCACGAATCTGACTCACATTTCTAGAAATATTCTATGCGTCGGATAAGGGCGAAAAAGCTTTCTATATATTCTTTCTTTGTATCTTTGGGAAACCTTGTGGGAATAAATTCTTGTTGATTTAGGATTTATGTACACAAGTGGATTTGGATGTTTCGTTTACTGGATATTCAGAAAAATATTTGAGGTTGGATGTGGGTGATGGTACGAGCTGCGGTGTTGCGTGTTGGATATTGCACAGAGATACGTTTCTTTGTGTTATTAAAAAAATTGTCAGTGATGCAGGAGAATGTAATCGGAAAAGATGTGAGGGAGAAATTTTGAGAATTATCATGACTTTGTAAAAGCTTGTCGTCAACCCAAATGATTGTTTTTTTTTTCCAGAAAATTCTTTTGGTATGACTTTTATAAGGAATGAAAGTAATCTTTTTGTTGCTAGTTGCCATATCCTCTATGCGTTGTTTCTGTTTGTGGAGACGTGTCGGAAAATAATCTGAAATCGGTTGTTCTGATACCTGGATCTTCGAAGAAAAAAAACAGGGTTTATATATCGTAAATATTCTCCCCTACCCCTGATTCCCTTCTGGCGCAAAAGATCCCCACCAAAGACGGCCCTGGGATCACGTGACGAAAACACGGTGTGACGTCAGGCGCAGCAGCAGCCAGCTGCCAGTCCAACATGGCTGACGTGTGAGCAGCGGTGCTACGTTCGGCCGTCCGCTTTATCCGCTAGTTTTTGCCGATTGTGCCAATCCTGTTTTGTGTTGCGACCCGCTAATATGATATCTTCGATCGTCTCGCGACTGGTCATGTGAGTATATAAAGTTTTCGTAGTCACAATTCCTTGTAAAAAGTCTTTGTCGTATCATCTGCGCGGCCCTCGCCATCGTGACAGGGTTGCGAAAATATATTTGCCAATCTTATCTCGTCGACCCGTTTTGCACCGTCTCAAAGGATTCGTCATCTCGACCTCACCATCGCACCTTCCACTGATCTATTGAGCCAAAAATGGCGTCTAGGCAGTGTCCTCGTCCTAAAAACTCAGTGCTCTCCGAATCGAAAAACTCATCGATACGTAATTTCGGGGTGAGTTTTCAGTGGCCAAGTGAAGTTGTAGAATTCATATCCGCTCAACCCCAGTGACAATTATAGATGTAAATCAATTTCTTTCCACGTACATAGAAAATGCTTCATGTTTAAAGGAAAGTCGAAGCCAGGGAAAATAATCAATAATACAAACTAAAATTACTCGGCGTCACCAACAGACAGAAATATTAACGTTAACGGTATTTCATGACTAGGATATTCGCAATGACATTCTAACAACCTTTTAACAAGTTACTCAAGTGAAGAAGATGTGCCATGGAAATTGCTATTAGTGCCGATTGCCGTTTGGAAAGCAAAAAATCGTCGCGACACACGACCTGAGACAAGACAAGAATAACCGTCGTTTATTTATTCAAATCTCAGTGTCGTAGCGAGTGGGGGGGTTCGTTAGGTCGTCAATTTGGTTTAAATCCACTTCTCAAGAAATAAATATTTTTCTGCGTGCTTATACGGAGCTCTTAAACAAAGGTGTCGTCAAGAGACACGCGCAACGTCCGATTACGTACAGGTGAAAGTGCAACTTCTACGTGAATCATTAGCGCGTATCGCGATTGTTCCTGTTTAATGGACTGGCTTACCTAACCTAGCATAACCTAACCTAACGCAACCTCAAAAGTGAGATTCCATAAGAACGTTACGAAATTTTTTCAATATGCAATGCATACCGAGTCTCGTTATAGATTAAAAATAGATCTGCCTAATATCGTGACCAAAGTGACTCTGCTAAATTCGTCAATATCTATCGAATTGTATTAGCAACATGGCCGCCGTTGTTTCCTTTTTTTGTTTGTCACTCAGATACGACATATCCCTCGACTGCGTATTACTTCACGTGTTCCTCTAATCTCTCCAACATATGACGGTTGCACGGTGGTGGGCAACGTGAGGCGAGTCCTACGCTGTGTTGTCTAAAAATAGTGTCGGTCGCGAGCTGCTCGAGGATACTTGAGGCGCGTTTAAAACAGAGACACGACAAGGGCGAGAGGGCAGCGTTGTCCACGGTACAAAGAAAGGACTGGCTTTTAAAGCGTTCAAATAACGGAGCGTCCCTGGCCTCGCCAGCTGATCGGGGCCCGTTACGTCACAAAGGAAGCGGGTTGCTGCACTCTTTGTGCGTCTCGACGCTTCTTGTTGGGCTACGCACACGTGCACGTGCGCACGCAGTAGCTCTGTCCTTCGCTTGGTCACTTGCTCGCGCAGTCACTCTTTATTTCACACAAGTTGAAACTTGCTGCGCTCCGAACGAGCCAGCCTTGGCGTCCGTGACTCATTTCGCGCACTTGACAATAAATTGGAACGATCGCGGTGATCGAGGAAAATATTTTTCTTTTCCTTTCGTTAAATAACCATCGAAATCGTGAGAGGAACAGTCATTCGCACCAGAACGAGTTTATCTTAATGAAAATAAGATTTGGGTCCTGCCGTCTTGGGGAAGACATCTTCAAGGATGTCTGAAGGTTTCTCGTTCGTTAAATAAAAAAATAAAGGGAATTCGTGGTACATGGTTCGTTAAAAGTGCGACGAGGTCGTCGTTACGAAAGGCGTCCTTCGTACTGTGCCCAAGCCGCTTTTGGATTTTAGTGTTGATACCGTATATGTTAAGAAAATGATGTTGATTACCGCATTTTAATTCTTCACGGTTGATTAAGAGTCTTATGCGTACAGTTTCGTCTGGATTCTGAGGAGTGGACGTAAGAGAAGGGATCTTATCTCGTTGAGCAATGGTCTTGCCGGAGACCTTGGTTGGCCTAGCCCATTTTTGGGTCCTGGTGTCGTAACTGGTTGCCAGGCTAATGGAACGTCATGATACTTACCGTACTAGAATCTTCAAACTAGCTTCACGCTTGTATTGCTTCCTGGTACACAGTAGAGAAGCTGCGCCTGCTGATGCTTTCTAGGTCGCCACTTTCTACCCGAATTCGACCTGAACTCGACCTCATCCCATCCCAGCTTTTACTCCATATTGGCCGACTCCCATACGTCCACAACTTTTCTCTCGTGTTACGAACTGCCTAAAGTGTCGCTCGACTGCGCACTCGATGGACACTCCTTCATTCTTTCACTAATTCCGTATATCTAAATTAAAAGTGAGCTTGTCTGAGACAATAAATAAAAATACCTAATGGTCTCTAATAAAAGTAAAAAAAATAAAAAAAATCAAATCAACACCTACTTTCCTTTTCAATATTCACTCCTTCAAAGAATTCTTCATTCGTGCCATCTTATTTTCATCCGACCCCTCTTCAAGTCCTCGGGAACAAAGGATCACATCCAATGGAGAGGCCATACGTGCTCCGAAAACAATCATCCACATTTGATTGGTATGATCGATGAGATTCTAGCTTTTATCCCTCAACTTTTTTCTTGTTGGCCCTCCTTGCGAATAATGGTCCATTCGCTATTAAGGATGGCGCACAGTTCCCTCCTTGCACGACGTTGGGTCCTCTAAGTGCGGAGCGTGTATTGTTCTCAGAGATGGTGTCTCGGCCGAGGAAGGGTCTGTCCAAGATTCTCGTGCCACCCGCAGGAAACGAGGGCGGAAGGAAACTCAGTGTCTAGAAAGAGGACATCAAGAGGTAGCGAGGGGGAGAAAAGACGGAGATAGAAGAGGAGCAAGAGATGGTTTCAGTAGCCGAGTAACGTTGCTGGTCGTTGGATCGATGCCGAGGCTGGCAACAGGAAGGCAGTTCCGTGCTCTACGAGCAAGGACGTCTAACCAACCCTCTTTATACCTCTGGCGCCACCCTTGTATCCCTCTCGGTCTCCCGGGTACGCGGGCACCCTGTTAAGGGTGGCATGAACTCCGTTCTAACTCCCGACGAATCGATATTTCTCACACCCTCACGCGAGATTGCATTAACCTCTTGTTGCCTCGTTGCTCGTTGCTCGCTCTGCCCCTCTAGATATACCACCAGCCCCCTCCTTCCTAGTACGCTCTACGGGGTATGCTTATTTTTTGTACCCTCTCTACTTTCTTTTTTTTCATCTCTCATCCCTCATCCCACGTAATCCCTCCCGCTTCGCCTCTTCGGGTATTTGCATAAATGTCGTTGACTCCCCCATTCTCTTTCCCTGGGGCTCTTTCAAACCGCAGTGAAAAGCTCCAGCGGAACAGCCTGGAAATAGGGTATCGCCGAAGCTACTGGCTGTATGGCTGCGCACCCGTGGAAACTCGACGTGCACGTAACAGCATAGGCAAGACTACCCTATTACGTAAAGACACTTTGGTACCGATTGGATCGAGCCAGGAGAAATTTTCTCTTACAACAATACTTGGTAATGGTATTTAATTGAAACTTTTTCCGGTTACTTAGTGCATTTTTTCACTCATTTATTAAAATCGATACAACCAGGCCCCCCGCGACTTTGGAAATTATGCGAATCGCGTTTGGATCGTGCTAATGGCGGGCACTTACGATCCTCGAGCTCGTGACGTCACTGAGAATTTATTATTTATTAGAATAATTAAGAACGCCGCTCACTAATTAAGATGCGGGTCGCGGTTGGGAGTTGAATATTTTTTTCCTTTCTTTTTGTTTATACTTCCTTCCTTCTCTCTTCGCCGTCTTACTTTCCCTTTTATACCCCGCTGACCGTTCCCAGGTTTTCCGCTTTTCTCGCACTCATTAAATTTTCCCAAAGCTTCTAACCGGCCAGTTCCCTTCGGTCGCGCGTATCGCTCGCTGCGTACTGCGCTGCACGATTTCTTTCTCGTGACTGTCATTACTTCATCATTGCAATGGATCATTGACACCGCGTTTGAATTTCTTGTCAGTGACTGGTTACTCCACGGCTGACTAAGGAGTCTTGACTGTTGACAAGTTGCCGATGATAAATCACCCGAGAACAGACAATCACCGTGACAATAGATCATTTCGCAATTAATGGTTGAACTTTGCACTTTGCAACGATAACTCCCCTTCCCTCCCCCCTCCCCCCCCCTCCTCTCAATACCAATCCAGAGTCTTGTCATTCTTCTCGTCGTAACTCACCGCCAGTATTTTCTCGCTCGGTTTCCCCACGTCTTTCAAATATTTCTTTCTCGCACACGTTACGCCCACCGACCACTGTCTCAGGTAGTCCGCGTTATTACGTCGCGTCGTGCGTTTTGATTTACACGCCTCTTTCCTCGCCACCCTATATAATTACTTCGTTCTCGTCGTATGACAAGAACACGGGGAGGCTCGCTAGACCTCGTGTTGCCACGTCTCAAGATGCGAGGGGAGTTGTAAAAATTAA